AAGCTTTGAAAAAATGGTCCACTTTGTAAAAGAGCTAGAGATTCAGACTCGATTAGGTCCGAGTCTCAGCTAGAAATGACTTCCTGGTTGCTGAGAAAGAATTCTGTCCTTCTAGCAATCCTGTGGCTCTGACTTAGGGATAAAAGGAGTCTGTCCTCATCACCCTTTTATAGCTTATTTTAAAAATCTCTTCGTTGTCCCAGGATGGTTCTGATTTGGGCTGTGTTCATGTTAGGACCCTGAGGACTCGGAATACAAGCTGTGCTCTAGATCTGTTCTTGGCCTTGCATTGGTGTTAGAATCACAATTTACAGGAATCACTTTTGCTATGAGAACTGAAGGAATAATGCTTCTGGCCAGAGGCAGGCAGAGGCCCTATCTCCCTTGGTTAGAGCCTTGAGCGGAAAAAGCTACAGGAATCGTCTCCCCTGTGCCTACTAGCCGCACCCCAGAACAGGAACTTGCACCGAGAAAGGGCTGGAGTCCCTGTGCTTCCCAGAGAGTTTTCAAAAAGATGCAGCTCTCTCTTGGCCCACCTTCAAAACGCGAGGCTTTCCTGGGATCCCAGTCTGGTGGTGCCCTCTTGTGGGCAGAGACATCACTGCAGTCTCTTCAGTTCAACCGGAGCAAGAGCCCTGATGCTGCCCACAGCTGTGGCCCTCCCTAGAACCTGGGAAGCACTCATCTTTTCTTTCCGAGCTCAAAAGAACAGTTGGTTTTGTTGGTAAGAAATCACAAGTGGATCCTAATCTGGAGCTGAGTCTAGCTGGAGATGCAGACGGTGGGAGACACACACATCACCCTGAAATGTGTTCGCGGCCCTCAGCTGTCCTCGGGCTCCAAGCTTCATCCACATCGCTCTCTGTCGGGCAGGGCTGTGTGCCTTGGTGCTCCGCACCTGCCACCGTCTTGCTGGTGGTAACAGTGATAGCACTGTTTACATGACCTTATGTAAAACATAATTAACACAGCTTTGCTCACTTCAGTAAGTGTCCTACCCAGAAGACTATGAACTCGGATATGTTATCACTATGCGGGTTAAGAATTTATAAATAGATGTAGCATATCATAGT